ATTTTTAGTTTTAATTTACATTTTACTGTTTACATTTAATTTGCATTTTTAATTAATTCCAACTCACATTAAATTAATTAAAGAAAAATAATTAATTTACATCTTAATTTACAAATTATTTTAATTCAAAAAAAATAAAATAATACAAAAAAAAAATAATTAATGGTAAGAAATGTTTCGGTCCACTAATGATAAGAAATGTTACGATAAATCATCACCAGTATTCTCTCAGTAATTCTCAGTGATAAGCATTTCTGCTGACAGCTATGTTTAATTGTTTTTTTTAAACGATTTTAGGTCGACAGGTGGGCATGAGAATGCTTTGTGCGCCACAGATGGTTCAGGTGGTACAGCAACAGCTGAAAAACAGGAACTGCCATATACTAAAATGTTAAACGGTACATTGCCGAAGAGTATTCGGGTACTTGCATGGGCACCAGTACCCGAGGATTTCAGCGCCAGGCATCAGTGCACTCAACGTACCTACACTTACCTCTTCCCGAAAGGAAATTTTAATATACAGGTAAGCCCAACGTCGCATAAAAATTCTCGCTAATTTTTAGTTCCTAATAAAATTAAAGATGTCTTTAGCGATAAGAGATTTGCATATACTAATGTTCACATTCGATTGTGTTAAGCTACAATTGCGACGCGGAAACTGATTGATAATGCAACGAAATAAGAAACAGTATCTCATCCTTGCTACGTGACCGACCCGACATCTTTTCCTTGCCTACATCTCTTCTCTTATATCTTTCACAACAGAACATAATCGAAGCTCTTTGTTGCGTATACGCTGTGCTCTACTGCGACCTTCAATGTCATAAAATTGTTAGTATTTAAGGCAATGCAAAAGGCTTGCGATTTATTGGTTGGTGAGCATGATTTTCGTAATTTTTGCCGTATTGATATGAACAAAGAACGCGTGGAAATGAGCTATGTGCGCACCATAAATTATGCCCGTATATCCGCAATATCGTAAGTAAGTTATTTATAATTTCCAAGACTACTACAGAACCGAAGAATTTTGGTTGTCCTATGGGCAAAGTCAGGGTCTTGACCATTGCTAAACAACAGTGCATTTGACAGTTTTGCCAGCGAGTGGTTGTTGTCAATATTTGCGACCACTCAGACCAAATCCCTAGTGCCTCCACTTTGCACAAAGTACGAATACGGTGGGGTTTTGACTTGATTTTGACATATTGAAAATTATAAGTAAACCATGGGCAAAGTCAAACTCTTGTGCGTTGCCGGACGAGTGGTTGTTATCGGTATTTGCGACCACTCGGACTATATTCCCCAGCGCCGCCGCCTGTCACAGGGTACTAATACAGTATTGACTTGACTTTTGACATACCAAGAATTATAGGTAAACCATGGGCAAAGTCAAACTCTTGTCCACTGCCAGACAACAGTCTTGCCAACGAGTGGTTGTTATCGGTATTTGCAACCACTCGGACTACATCCCCAGTGTTTCCGCCTGTCACAAAGTACTAATACGGGAAGAGTATTGACTTGACTTTTGACATACCAAGAATTATAGGTAAACCATGGGCAAAGTCAAACTCTTGTCCGCTACCGGACAACAATCTTGCCAACGAGTGGTTATTATCGGTATTTGTGACCACTCGGACTATATTCCCCAGCGCCTCCACCTGTCACAGGGTACTAATACAGTATTGACTTAACTTTTGACATACCAAGAATTATAGGTAAACCATGGGCAAAGTCAAACTCTTGTGCATTGCCGAACAACAGTGTTGCCAACGAGTGGTTGTTATCGGTATTTGCGACCACTCGGTCTACATCCCCAGTACTTGCACCTGTTACAGAGTACTAGTTCGGAGAGAGTATTGATTTGACTTTTGACATACCGAGAATTATAGGTAAACCATGGGCAAAGTCTAGCTCTTGTCCACTGCCGGACAACAGTCTTGCCAACGAGTGGTTGTTGTCGGTATTTGCGACCACTCGGGCTATGTCCCCCAGCGCCTGCGCCTGTCACAGAGTACTAATATGGGGAGAGTATTGATTTGACTTTTGACATACCAAGAATTATAGGTAAACCATGGGCAAAGTCTAGCTCTTGTCCACTGCCGGACAACATTCTTGCCAACGAGTGGTTGTTATCGGTATTTGCGGTCACTCGGACTATATCCTCCAGCGCCTCCGCCTGCCACGGAATATGGGAAGAGTATTGACTTGACTTTTGACATCCAAGAATTATAGGAAAACCATGGGCAAAGTCAAACTGTTGTCCGCTGCCGGACAACAGTCTTACCAACGAGTGGTTGTTGTCAGTATTTGCGACCACTCGGGCTATATCTTTCAGCGCCTCCGCCTGTCACAGAGTACTAATACAGCATTGATTTGACTTTTGACATACCAAGAATTGTAGGTAAATTTGTTAAGGGATGATGTATCATCACCGTACGATTTCTTCGAGTTAACAATCAAAGCAAAAGGCTTTCTTTGGCATCAGATCCGTTGTATCATGGCGCTGCTTTGTGAAATTGGCTGCCAAAATGAGCAACCACAGGTAATTTGACATTTTCACTTCATAATCAGCATCGAAGAACACGACATAGCTACGCCGGACATGCGTTAGCTTCCCAGTAACATCATTAATATGGTATATTCACCTTAAGAGCCCATTAGGTCATTGGCGATCCTACGGGGGAGGGGGGAGAGAGTGCGGCTTCCGACGTAGTGACGAACGCGTAGGGGGAGGGAAAAAATCGCCCAACCCCTCCCCCTCCGCCCTCTTTCCCCCTCAGGAAACCGCCCTGGATCCGCCTGTGCACAGGGTTTAAGTATTCTTGTGGTGAATATCGTTTCCATGTCAATGAGAATGAGAATTAGCAACGTTAGGAGAGATCATGTTCTAAATACTCACCAAGAATATCTCATAATAGCCGAATTTTGCCATATGTTTCTGTTGGGGGACAAGACAAACGTTGGGATTGTCAAAAATCTGACCACTGGTCAGTCCAGCTGGACAATTGTTAGCTCTCCAGCGTGGAGGACCAGATCATGGATTAAAACTATTCGATGTGGTGTTACTATGATTGTTGTTATCATGGTTTTCCGCTTATCATGATTTTCAAAAATTTTAAATGCAGTCATCACGAGATTAAATTTTTTTAGTAATTTTCTGTTGTTGAGCTGGTGATTAGACGGCTGGTCAGCTAGCCCAGTGCTCCGGCTTGTCGAGTTGGATCTTCGACTCCTTGGCGATAATTCGGCGAGGTACTAGGGTCCGCGTCCTTCGTGGATCGTCTGGGTCGCCTGCATAATACACCACAGCACAACACCACTTTCACACAGAAAACAGCGGCATTATATAGGTAGCTTCACGTCATTATGCATGCCATAGCTAGGAGGGAGTCATGATGCAACACTGTGATGAAACAGAATTGCAGTATCGCGGTGAATCGAGGAATATTGGCATATGATTGCTAAGATAACCTGGTCATCCTCAGTCTTTTGGCATTCAATCGAATGAAATTTTTGAGCAGTATTAATTGAAGTAATGAAATAAATTATTTTGTGATTTTTTTTGGCTCAAAATTGCAGTTTTGATGAATTATCGATTTGTATTTTTTTAAGATAATCAGTGAATTGTTGGACATCAATTTGACACCCTCGAAACCAGCCTATGGACTAAGCCCAGCTTCACCTCTGTGCCTGTTCGACTGTGCATACGATGGAATCGAACTGTCCTGGAGGTGGGACACAGAGTCGCTGAAATCCGTACGAGCACATATCTTGAAGTTGTGGGCCGAGTACCAGTCGAGGTATTTGGTTTGCTTGGCATCTGTATTATTGTCATTACAGTGATGCCAAATAATAAGCGCGAAGGCAAACAGCCTCTCTTTTATACTTTTTTCACGATTTCTTAGGTCATATGAAAGGGGTCTTTTTTATCCCTACTTTTTATTAAGTTATTAATTATGCCACGACCGTCGTACTGATAAGGTCCAGCTGTGTTGCTGCCTTGGCGGAATAATTGCTAATTCGGTAAAGAGGAAAGCTAGAAAGCAAATTTAGCGGGAAAATTGCTAACTCGGAAACGAGAAAAGCTAGGAAGCCGAAACTTTCTGGACGTTTTCTAGACAATTCAGCCGAAACTTTCTAGACAATTCAGTGGACCGAAATATCTTAATCTTAGCTAAATTATTATTTCTTCATACGTAATATAGGTTTATGTTTTTAATATTTCCAGTATAGAGTTAGCTGCTGATAGCTGTTCCCTGGATAGCGTTTATAATTCTGCATAAACCTAATAAGTAATTTAGCATTTAATATTAAATATTGACTATCTCAGACGGTATCATATACATTCCTTGAGTACGCGAGCGGTTCTAACTGGAGGTAAGCAACTCATATCTATCACAGCTGCGGCAGACATGTTCACGATATCAGTAGTAGCAGGTCAACGTCACTTTTCCTTATTTTTTCAAGTTTTTCAGATCGATTATGTTGCGGAATATGGCTGAAAGCATTGGTCTTTTAATAACTGATGAGGACTGCGGCACCAATGCCCTGAATGGCTACCTGAGGCCAGCTGTAACATCAAACAAAGTTTATGTGCCGATCAGAAAACGTGGAACCTGTGATGCGCTGGAGTTGAAGCAAGAGAAAATTCGCAGGAAAATGGCAAAACTGAAAAATACTGGCTTGCCATCGTAGTAGTTTTTATGCGTTTTTTGCAACTATGTTTCGTTTTGGTTGTTCCAGGCCCAAGTTTTCCTGAAAAAATTAACTCCTCAAAAAACTTTGATTATGCGTACTTCGTTTTGTTGAGCATATAGCTTCCCTGTGATGCTAGCTTACCGATTTTTGTATGAATTACTAAGCGGGTGGTGGCTGTTGCGGATTTTTCATTGTTGCCCATGGCAGCACCTTTCTGATCTTTACTTATATTAGATGCTATGTCTATGTATACAGCAGGAATGGGCAACCTTTGGCGACAGGCGAATCTGATTTACATACTTAATTGGCTAGCGGGCCACCATTTAATAAAACCCAGGTACCAGCGCGCCAGGTTAAGACGTGTACGACTTAATGGACCGAAACGTCTTATCTCACTCTCTCCACCAGCCTTCATTACTGCCTCCTGCACTTGCGCATCCCTCCATTTGCACTTCCAGGGTTGGCCTGAAAGCTGCAATGTACTTGCCTATGTGATCATGCGTTTTTGCACTAAACTTGACGCACTCAGATCTTTAACAGTATGAATGGTTATTGCTTTATTGCTTTACAGTTTAACACGTGCAATTCATGTGTCTGTGTTTTGGCCTTCTCTTGCATGCGAGGTAAAAGGAGGTCGGTTAGGACAATAATGTTGCATCATGCCTCTCCTCATTATTGAGTTTTTGCGTTCAGTGCTCTTCAGAAAGTGTTGCCGATCGGATTTTACTTTCTTGCGCGCTTGTTCCATTGTTGTAATGTTGCTTTTTGTTGAAAATTGCTTTTGTAAAACATTGGTTGTCAAATAAAATCTTTTTTTTTTCAGTGAGTAAATCTATTTGATGAAGAAAGTGTTACGACTTCTTTACCTTCTTTTTGAACAGCAAAATGTTTTGCTGTATAAAATGAAATTCATTTTTGCCAATTAGACAGATTTTGCACATAATTGCGAAAGATATTTATGTTGACTAGGCTATTTATATTGATTTTCAGGCATCTGACAATACTCCAAACACAAACTGCTACTTCATACGCTAAGGATGAGTGATGACGAGGAAGTGGGTGAAAATTACTTTGTTTGTTATTAACATACATTGCACTAATTTCATTTACCACAATCATCGTACTGGCGAGGTGCAGTTGCGGTAATGGTAAGAAATGTATACGACTTAATGAACCGAAACACTTCTTACCATTATAATGGTCCCATAAATTTCCTAATTTTCATTTCTCTCCCTCCTTTTCTGTTCTTTTCTATTATAACTTTCTGTTATCATTATAGTTTAATGAGTAGTGGAGAGTTCATTACCGGGTGATAAGGTTGATGAAGCTCTGTGCCAGGTATATGGGTAAGATTTGGTTATTGGCACGGTAGACAGGAAAGAGGGAAAAATTCATTTTTTAGAGTGGCAAGTATGGTCACTGAGGCAGTGTTGAGGTCCGAGGTACTTTACACCTTTGATGGCTAAATTGTATAAGAGAGGGGTGACAGGGTAGGGGAGGGGGAGGGAGGGGTACTAAATCCGATTTTCTCAGAATAAGGAGCAGGGAGAGGGGAGGGGGGGGGGGGGGGGGGGGGG